AAAAATTTAAAAAAAGCTCATCCTGGCTGGGTGGGTTGGAGCATTGTCCCATGCACCAAAGGGTTGCGGGCTCGATTCCCGGTCAGATCGCATACCTAGGTTGTGGGTTTGATCCCTGATCAGCAGGTGTGTGGAAGGCAACCGATCAATGTTTCTCTCTCACATCGATGTTTGTCTCTCTCCCCTCCCCTATAAAATCAATAAAAATCATATCTTCGGGTGAGGATTAAGTGGGGGAAAAACTCAGTGTGCTTGTTGCTAATGGGGTGTCCCTGCTCTCAGGCCTTCTCAATGGACAACAGTAGGGGAGGGGAAAATACCTATATGTCTGGGAAACGTAGGCCAAGATATAAAGCCTTTAACAAGCATGTTAAGTTAGGGAACCCTTTTCTAGAAGAGCCTCTCTCAGGATCTGTAATGCAGCACAACCTGGAGAAGGCTGATCGGGTGTAGGGGACATTGTGGGAAGGAGGTGCTCTGAAATGAGTCTCCAGGGTGCTAAGGATGGGGCACACATGAAGGGGTGACTTCCGCTTTAACCAGCACCTTTATTCTGTCCTTGGAGAAACTGCTTCTCTGATCTGTGCATCAACTTATCCATCAGCACAATGGTCTCCATTGATATAATCAAAAGGACAACTTAAAAAGTTTGATATTTTTAATATCTGCCAGAGGGTTTTACTTGATTTCAAGTTCTCAGAAATGAGGGTCCAATTCTTTGATTTCTGTATACTTCAAGGTGCCTACCATTGTGCTTGCACATAAGGAATAGGTGGCACATATTATATGAATGACCTTGGGCAAGCCACTTGACCTCCCGAAGTTGCCTGCCAGTTCCCTCTTCAACGGGGGTTCCTGCCAGAGGCCAAGAAGTAATTTTTCATTAATTTAATTAATATATTCTTGAAGGTCTGTTTGGACCTACAAAAGCCAGTCCCCTGCTTTCCAATAGTTTATTACCTAGTGAAATAATGACAACAAGAGACATCATCAATTGAAGCTTCCCCAATTCCATTCATTCAATCTTTAATTTGAACATCAACATTTAGATCATAAACAAATAGAAACATAAATGATGAAAGAGAATCATTGATTGGCTGCTTCCTGCATGCCCCACACTGGGGATCGAGCCTGCATGTGCCTTGAGCGAGAATCAAACCCTGACCTTTTGGTTCATAGCTCAACACTCAACAACTGAGCCACACCAACTGAGCTAGATCATTTTTAATCTTTGTTCTTACAATGGTCTAACAGCTATCTATTTCTATATGTAACCAAGAACATGTGCAAATAGGATACTTTTTTATAAACTGTTAAATGGTGTGTACATGTGTAATTGTAAGATATTGGCAAGCTGTTGTTCATAGAGGCTGTACAATTTCAGTCACACTGGCAGTGTACAAGAATCCTTGTCCCCCACACTCTTGCCAAGATAGTTATCAAGCTTTTTTATTTCTGCCAATCTGATAGGTGAAAATTGATATCTCAGTGTGGTTTTAACTTACATTTCTTTTATTAAGAGTGAAGCTCTGAGTCACGGCTAGGTTGCTCAGTTGGTTGGAGCATCATCCTGTGCACCAAAGGATTGCGGGTTTGACTCCTGTTTGGGGCACATACCTAGGTTGTAGGTTCGATCCCCAGTTGGGGCACGTGTGGAAGGCAACGGAGCGATGTTTCTCTCCCTCCCTCCCTTTCTCTCTCTAAACATATCCTCGGGTGAAGATTTAAAAGAAAAAAAGTGAAGCTCTGAGAAAATAAGTGTTGGAGGGAATGTGGAGAAATTGAAACGCTTGTGCACTGTTGATGGGGATGTAAAATGGGATAGCCACCATGGAAAACATTGTGGTGGTTTCTCAAAAAAATAGAAACAGAATTATCATAGGATCCAGCAGTATCATTTCTGGGTATATAACTATAAAAGAATTGAAAGCAGGACTTGGAGAGATAGTTGTACACCCATGTTCGTAGCAGCATTATTTACTACAGCCAAAAGATGAAGCAACCCAAGTGTCCACCAAGGAATGAATGGATATAATGTATACACAAACAATGGAATATTATTCAGCCTCAAAAAGGAAGGAAATCCTGACACATGCCTCAGCATGGATGAACATTGAGGACATTATAGTAAGTGAAATAAGCCAGACATAAAGGACAAATACTGTATTCATACTCATATGATGTCACAGTCAAATCCACAGAGACAGAAAGTAGAATGGTGGTTGTCAGCAACTGGGGTCGAAGAGAATGTGAGAAGTTCTTGTTTAATGGGCTCGGAATTTCGGTGTTGCAAGATGAAAACAGTTCTGTGAATGGATGGTGGTGATGGTAGCACAATAATGTGGATGTATTTAATGCCGTGAACTGTACACTTAAAATTGGTTAAGATGATAACATTTTATGTTTTTTATAATTTTTAAAATAAATTTTTAAAAATGAAGCTCTGCATCTTCTCATGTAAGAGCCATTGTGTTTCCTTTTCTGTGAACTGCTTGTTCATACACTTTTCACATTTCCTGTTGGTTTCTTGATCATTTTACTGATTTGCAAAAGCACTTTGTATTAGCCTTTTACCTCTGATGTACATTGCAAACATTTCTACCATTTTTCTATTGGTTTTTGTTGGCTATTGGTTTTGGTTTTTAGCTAGGTTTGAGATAGAGCTCTGACTGAAATTTTTTTTTAACCATTTTATGATGGAAGACGTCAATACATGCAGAAGTAGAAAAAATTTTATAATGAACCCCAACTAACCATCATTTCTCAGCTCCAACAATTATCAATTTAGCCAACCCTGTATCTATACCTTCACCTCAACCCTAGATTATTTTGAACCAAACCCCAGATATCTTATCAGGATATAAATATGATTTCAGTATGTAGAACCAGGAAGTCGCTGGTTCTACTCCCGGACAGGCACATGCCCAGGTTTGTGGGCTCGATCCCCAGCAGGGGGCGTGCAGGAGGCAGCCGATCAATGACTCTCCATCATCATTGATGTTTCCATCTCTCTCCCTCTCCCTTCCTCTCTGAAATCAATTTAAAAATATA